ATCCACACGGGGGAGAAACCCTACAAGTGCCTGGAGTGCGGGAAGAGCTTTTGCGTGAGCACCAACCTCACGTACCACCAAAGGACGCACACGGGGGAGAAACCCTACAAGTGCTTGGAGTGCGGGATCAGCTTCTGCCTGAGCACCAGCCTCACATACCACCAAAGGATCCACACGGGGGAGAAGCCTTACAAGTGCCTGGATTGCCAGATGAGCTTCCGACGGAGCTCGGATCTCAACACTCACCAGAGGATTCACACGGGGGAGAAACCCTACCAGTGCACGGCGTGTGGAAAGTGCTTCCGGGTCAGCTCCAGCCTCACTTCCCATCAGAGGACACACACGGGGGAGAAGCCGTATACCTGCTCGCAGTGTGGGAAGAGCTTCCGGAGAAGCACACACCTCAACGCTCATCAGAGGACCCACCGTGTGAATCCTTCCTCTGGCTACGTCTGAAGGCAGATCTCATTGAGGAACCCAAACACTCCAACAAGTCCTTTGAATGTGTGGAACGCGGTTAATGTGTAGCGGACCAAATGGAGCACATTAATGTTCTGGAACTAGGATTTTTTTTTAAAAAAATACTTCCTTTTCATCTCCTTTGTCCGGATGTTTTAGTGGCTGGCTTCTACGTCTCCTTTACTTTCGTTCTGTAAATGTTGAAGCCGGATTAAAACTTTGCGTAACTTTAGTGCTGAATTGTTATACAAGGGGACAAATTAAATCTTTAGTTGTCCTTTGCTCCTCAGGTAGATGCTGAAACTTGCTAATTCTGTCTTTGGAGTATTCAACTGTTATCCCCATGTCACGGCTTTCCTCTCGGATGAGTAGATGGCTGCGGTGGGGTCGCATGAGAAACTCATCGCCTTAATGGGCAGTTTCCGGGATGCAGGGCCACCGCACAGAATTCCGGAAAATAAAACCTGCACATCTGGAGGAAGCCAAGTCAGAAAGTTCTAGTATAGGACCAGAGAGAGGTTACTTTGATCTTAAGAACTACCGTGTTTCTCCAACACTACGGCCTCCCCCAATAGGAAGACCCAGCATGTTTTCTAGGCATGAAATGAAATTAAGCCCCTCCCCCCCAAATTTAGGCCTAGTTTAAAACATGCAAAATGGGGGGAAGGGTGGGGGGACTTGGCGTTAGGAGCGCCCCGCGGGCAGTTCCTCGCCACCAGCCGCTCCTAACGGGTGATCATGGCGAAGCGCAGAGAGCTCCCTACTCCCACCAAACACCTTTGCTGCAGACCCAAGACCTTTGGCACCTGCCGCTTTCCCTTCTGCCCATTCCACCACGTTTGGAGCTGCCGCTTCTGTGTTTGGAGCTGCCGCTTCTGTGTTTGGAGCTGCCGCTGTGTTTGTAGTGGCGGTGGTGCTCCAAATGGCAGTGGTGCTCCAAACAGTGGCAGTGCTCCAAACGCAGAAGCGACAGCTCTAAACGTGGCAGTGGTGCTCCAAACGGCGGCGGCAGCTCCAAACACGGAAGGGGCAGCTCCAAACGTGGTGGCGGAATGGGCAGAAGGGAAAGCAACAGTGGCAGATGCCAAAGGTCTTGGGTCTGCAGGAAAGGTGCTTGGTGGGGGTAGGGAGCTCTCTGCGCTTCACCATGATCACCCGTTAGGAGCAGCTGATGGTGAGGCTGCCCGCGGGGCGCTCTGGATGAGGATGCAAGGGGAGGGAATTACAGATGGCCTAGCCGTTTTTTCGGGGCTCAAAAAAAAAATAAGGCCCGGCCTTATTATGTGAGAAACATAGCATGTGTCTAGGTAGACGTTTGACAGCTTGTCTGTGGGAATTGTCTGTGGGAAGTATAAGATATGGGCACATGTTTCTGAGAGGCTGGGCACTTCTCCATGACCTCTGAAAATCATGGAGCACAGGCAGAGTGCCAGATTATTATGAGTCCCATCAAGGGTTATTCCTATCTTCAGAAAGGAGCCGAAAAAAGAATGTGGTCAGGTCGATGTTGATACTGGGGCAAAATGTTTAACAAATCATTAAGCAGTCCGCTTGAGTGCCTTTAATGCTAAAACATCTTGCTTTGGCAGGGGTGTTCCTCAAGAATAATTTGAGAATTCTATCATTACAATTTTATAATCTTGTTATAAAATTCGGCCATGGGAATGCGACAGACAATGGGGGTCTTTATTCTGCAAAGCATTTGATAAAGCATCCTGTGGCAAATTTAAAATTTGTGGACTTCAATTCCCAGAATTCTTCAGCCAGCATGCAAAAAGCAGCCGAGAGCTTGGGGGGAACCCCAAGATACATATTCTAAAACCCTATGGATATAGGATTCGCTTGGTAGGGGCCTGCTGCGTTGTATCTAACCAATACTGACTTAATCAACAAATCAAAGTTAACACAAACGCTGCTTAGCAGATACAGGAATGCAACCAAATTCTTACTCTATGGTACAACACTTAGCTGGAAGACACAGGTATTTGAAATGATACAAGTCAAGGTGTTGTTTCTACATATTTATTGTAAAAGTGACAATGCGGAAATGGCTTTAGATGGCGCCTCTTGGAGTTTTGAAGTTCATCCCTACGGTAGGCTGTGTGACCTGCAGGTTGGACAGGCTGCCAAAGTCCTGCGAATAGAAGAGAGAGCCAAGACTTAAGTAGATCCCTGGGGCAAGAGCCGAAAAAAGTATCTTTTCACTCAGGCTAAATTATCTACTTGAAACCAGTTGGGTGATCTTTGAGGGTCAATTTCCTTGGTGTGCGAAAATAAATTGCAATCATCATGCATTCCCCAAAGTATTCTAGTGATTTGCCAAGTTATGCTAGCTTTATCCCCTATAATCTGCCTGGCTTTTAAACACGATACTATATAATAATATTGCCTGCCTGCCCCCCCCCTCCAACCTTTCAGAACTACTACCAAGTGGGGTGATTTTTTGGGGGAAGGATGGGGGCAGAGGGCATCTTCATGTCTTAACTCCTGATGACTGCCTGGGATAAGTTCATGCAGTTTTATGGGTAACGTTTTCGGAAGTGGCTTGCCATTTCCTTCTCCCTAAGTGTCAAGGGAGGAGCTGGCCTGAAGTTACCCAGCTGGCTTCATGCCAAGGTAGAACTAGAACTCACAGTCTCCCAGCTTACACCCTGGTGTCCCTAACCAACCCGCACTGATTCTCCTGGCTGTTTTATTTTAGCTTAACTTTCAGACCCTTAATCCAGCCACTTGGTTTTTAGAAAAGCAATCCTGTGGGCAGCCACCCCAATGCCCTACTCACCAGCAACTTCAACATTTCCTTGGTATCTGGATCCACTTCAATGATCTCCTGATCCAGGGCAGAGACCTGACGAAGAAGAAGAAAAAGGAACCGATTGGCTTGGTGGTAACAGGGGCCCAAGAATTATGAGTCAAAACACAGCAATCGTGTGATGTATACATTTATCATAAACCCCCTTCCTGCAGGCAGCCTGAGATTGTCAGCAAGATGCTTCGAGAAATATGAGCAAGAAAAGGAGTTAAAGCAGAACTCATCCAAAACTCTATGCAGATACAACTGTGGCATGTTTACAGCCTTCCCTAACCTATTACCCCCCAGATATTCTGGAGACCATGTCCAGGAACATCATTTTGGTGCCAACAGTCCTGATGGACAGGAATGATCGGCTCCTAATCCTAAAACTTTTGGAAGAGGGAAACTTGTTGAGGAAGGCTGACACACATACACCAGAATAAATATATTCTCCATAAAAACTACTGTTACAGAGCGAAGCACCGGGCATCAAACACAAACAGATCCTCAATAAGATCATATATTCATTTCGTGTATCCTTTATTCTCAGATATTCTAACCAGTAAAGCTTTAAGGACAAAATAGGTAGTAACTGCAAATACTTTTTAATAATTCTGGAGCCCCAAATGTAGAAACTTAATAGAATAGCCTTTCCACTACTGACTGAAATTTGGGGTCTCCGAGATCACGCAAAACATTTCCCCTCATGCTCAAAAGGAAGTTTTCTGCCCACATTTGCCAAACTAGGTTGCAAACAGAAAGCATTATGGCTCTTCTCCCACTTAAATATTATTACAGGGGGAAAAAAATGACCTCCAACTTTTAGTCACTCAGGAACAACAAAAGAAAAAAAAAACAAGCTTCCAGATAAAAAAATAGACATTTCAGTTAGACCATTTCCTAAATATATCCAAGGAATTGTATGAGGACAGCACTGTATTCAAGTAGATAAGTAATCCAAAATGGATGTATTCAAGTAGATAAGTAATCCAAAATATCTTCTGGGCACCAGAAAATACCTCCTAACTTTACTCTTTAAAAATTATTTTATTGAAAAATAAAATTATGTATTGATCTGAATTATTATACATTTTGTGGGGTTTTTACTTCCTGTCATTTTTGTTCATTATCATAATTTTAATCTTAACAAAACCAGAGAAATTTTACCCAGCTTAGCTATTTTTCTATAGGGCTAAACAACTACAGCTTTAAAAAGTCAGGGTCCTTCCAGAGCTACTTTGTAGATCATCAGAACAGAAAGAAATCAAGAACAACATTTTACATGTCTTTCTGTCAAGAGATAAGCCAGGCAGAAAGACAAGTGGATTGTTTTGGAACACAACAGAATATAGTACAGCAAGAATGCCCTTAACATTAATGAGGAAAACAGCAATCAAAACTATGACCTCCAAAACCAAGTATGAAGGAAGTATCGGGGGCTATCGGGCTAAATGAAAACTGTCCGGAAAGCTCAAGTGTTCGAAGGACACGGGCAAGAGGCTCCACAAACATGGGAAATGCTTCCAGGCATCCTCTCTGCCTGCACTATCGATGACAAAGGCCACAGGTGAAGGCCTCCCTTTCCAATGCAGGCTCAGTTCATCTTCCCTCCTGGAGACAAGCAGGCAGGACAAACACCCCCCCCCCCCCGCAACCTCTGCATTCTCGACTTGAAACCACGACGGAGCCTCAAATTTCTGTTCAGTGAGTTTTGCCACATTTTACAACCTTTCTTGCCACCGTTAAGTGAATCACCGCAGCTAGGTTAGCGACACGGTGGTCCTATGAATCTGGTTTCCCTGTTGACTTTGCTTGTCAGAAGGTCACAAAAGGGAATCGAGTGACCCCGGGATGCTGCAACCGTCGTAAATAGGAGTCAGTTGCCAAGTGGCTGACATTTTGATCACATAACCACGGGGATGGTGTAACGGTCGTAAGTGTGAAAAACAGTGATAAAAGTCCCTTTGGCATGCTGGTGTTAACTTTGAATGGTCACTAAACAAGCTGCCATTAAGTATCTGTATTCCCTGACCTAATGCTAGGCCCCATTCACACAGGCAACCACAGTTAACACTCCTGCGAGAACAAGTTCCTAAAACTGACTTGGTTCATATCGCGTTCTTCTGATGCTTTAAAACAGGAGTCCCCAAACTTGGCCACTTCAAGACTTGTAGACTTCAACTCACAGAATTCTCCAGCCAGCACAGGGAATTGAGGTCCACAAGTCTTAAAAGTGGCCAAGTTTGGGGACCCCCGGATTTAAATTCACTCCTTCAACATTACAGATGGCAAGAAAAGTATGGCTTCAAGTCAGCTGAGTGATTCTGAGCCCGGACTGATCCTAAACTGAACGTGTTACTCCTAAATCCACCATAGGTTTTATTCATTCGCAGTAATGATTTGAATCCCAATTTATGGACCAGAAAAAAAAAGTTTTATCAGGAAAGATTACAGACAACCCAGGAACTACGTTTTGCTAAGATGACTTCACATATTTCAGAAAGGCTTTTCTTGCCATGCAAAATTGACTAGGCCCGAAATGCTTTTTTTAAATTTAAGACAGGGGTGTTCAACCTTGGCAACTTTAAGACTTGTGGACTTCAACTCCCAGAATTCCTCAGCCAGGAGTTGAAGTCCACAAGTCTTAAAGTTGCCAAGGTTGGACACCCCTGATTTAAGACATGAAACCTCTATGAAACTCATCCGAGACATAAAACTTACCTCGGGGACATAGTTATCCCTCCTTTCTCTTTCCTCTTCTTGTAGTTTGATAGAGATACCTCTGACTGGCCCTCTTTGAATGCGCTTCATCAGATGGGTGACATACCTGTGGAGAAGAACGGGGGGGCGGCCGGGGGTGTGTGTGTGTTAGTATATTTCACTGTGATTCCCTACCCACTACAAACAATCAGGCATTCAAGCAAAAATCTCAGTAACTGACTGAACTGACTCAACAAAGCTTAGCCTTAAAAGTTTAAAAGTACAGGGAAATGCCAAACTGGAACAAAGTTATCATACATCTGTTCAAACTACACCGTTTTCAGTAATGTCTGAAAAGCTCAGGGTTTGGTAGGAAATAAAGGAATCCTCCAAACACGGGAAATGCTCTCAAGGATGTTTTTCCTGCACTATCAATGACCAGGCCACAAATAAGACCAAAATCACTTTCGATGCAGGTTCTGCCAAGGAGCAGAATCCAGATTTCGAATGACCGCGTGTGAGAACTCTGCACGAAGCCCCACCGGCAACGATTCCTACCCAGCGATTTTGTTCCGCAGTTTCTTGCTAGGGATGATGGCGATCTCCTCACACACGCGCTTGTTTGTGTGGAAGTCATTTCCAAGGCGAGTGTAGTATTTTTCAATGATCACCCGTGCCGCTTTTTTCACCGTCTTGGTACGGACGCGTCCCTAAGGGGAGGCAAAGAGACAAATACATCAGCAACTCAAGGAATGAATAAAGACTTTCGAATTTTGCAAACCCCTGAGAAATTTGAAAACCGGAGACGACCAAACCAGTGACCTCTAAGCTGCATCTCTGTTGAAAAGTACGTACTTGGGAGTAAAAAACCTCAGAAATTCTGCTTTTGTGGATGACAAGCTGGAATATAGTTTCTTTCCTAAGAAAGCCTGTAATTTTCAGCCCTTGCTTATCAATGGAGACCGAATGGAGCAAGTGGCCAGTTTTAAGTTTCTGGGTGTTACCCTAAAAGAGGACCTGACTTGGAGTGCCCATATTGCAGTCCTGGTCAAAAGGGCCCAGCAGAGATTATACTACCTGAAACTTCTCAGGAAACAAGAACTGAATGAAAAACTGCTGGTGACCTTCTACCGCTGCACCATAGAGAGTATCTTAACTTACTGCACCTGTGTATGGTTTGCCAATTGCACCGGGGCAGATAGGACAGCACTCCAGAGGGTTAACGTATTGCTCAGAAGATCATGGGTTGCCCTCTCCCCTCTTTGGAAGTGCTTTATAGCTCCCGCTGCCTTAAGAAAGTTCAAAACATTCTCAAAGATCCATCTCATCCTGGGAACCCTTTTTTTTTTTTTTTTGAACTATTACCATCTGGCAGGCAGTACAGGATAATAAAAACAAGGACAAATAGACTGAAAAACAGCTTCTATCCCAGGGCAGTAGCTCTGTTGAATTCTGCTGTATAGTGCAGTGCTGGTGCGGTGTCAGGGGTTTTCAATTCAATGTGTGGAGTGTGAAGGATGTGTGTTTGTGTTTATTTTCATGGTCATGTTGTGCACTGAAGATGGTATTTGATTTCGTTGTATGAGGTGCAATGACAAGAAAGTAAACTAATTTTTAGGAAAAAAAAAAGTCTAAAGTCCTGATGAGCCAATACGAAATGCTTGCATCTACCTGTTCATCTTTTGGCTGTATTATTTAAATTATTAAACGGGACTAATCGTTTTAAATTTTTCTAAGTGTTTATGGTTTTGATGTATCTGATGACGGAGTTCACATGTTGCACTAAATCGCGATAGGATTGGATTGTTTTTGGCTACAAACTAGTTTTTAAGGCTGAATACAACACCTGATCCCAAAGTGTATGGCAGGGAAAGTTGAGCAAGAAACAAGTTAAAAATTCTGCTTTTTACCCCCCAAGCCGTATAAACAAGAGTTAGGCAACCTGGCATTACCATTCACACACAGTGGCAAGCCAGGCAAGAAAAAGGCAGGTGTGTTAAGTCCAAAAACCATCGAAGGATTATTAATTAACCAGTATAATAGTTTGCCTTCAGACACTGTATGTGCTTCCTTACTAGAGGTTTTTAAGAAAAGACTGGAAAGTCACTTGTCTTAAGCGGCTTAAGTCTCTTATTTGAGCAGGGAGGTGGGGTGGACTAGAAGACCTCCCAAGGTCCTTTCCAGCTCTAATCTGATTGATCACTGGAGGTTTTTAAGAAGAGACTGGACAGCCAGTCTATTTGAAATGTTACAGGGTTTCCTGCTTGACTAAGGGGGGGGGGGGTTGGACTAGAAGACCTCCAAGGCCCCCTCCAGCTCGACTCTCATTCCAATTTACCGTTTCACCCTGCAGGTGAATATCCCACGGCAAAGATTCAGAGCTAGCCGGCCATCCTCAGTTCGATGGGAAGGAAATCTCTCTACCTGTTGGATCTCTGCCTGCCAGGTAGCAAAGGGGGGGGGTGGATAAGGCAGGAGGGCCCCAAACCATTTTATTTTTATTTAGTTTAGTTTGTCAAGCATGTATGAGAAAACAAGTATAAGTAGGAACATAACATATAAACATAGGAGTATTAAACGGGTATAAGTAATAAATGATGAGTACGAATAAATGGGAAGAGGAGGATAGGGACGGTAGGCGCGCTACTGCGCATGCCTCTTTTCCTCCCCCCAAAAGGGGGGAGGACCCCCGCCCCTCACAGTCCCAGATCGGACCCCCTTAAAGCCCCCAGAGCCCGTCCGGCCTAGCTATTCCCCCGCAGCCTGCACGACCGCAGCCATTACTGCGGCGGGGGGGAAAAAAACATGGGGCACCCTCCTCATCCCCATGGAACAGGCCAGGCCGCCCGTTCGGGACGATTCTACCGACAGGCCTACCGACGCCTCCCCCGGGCGCCCCGCATTTCCCTCCCAGCGCCGCCACCGCCGCGGATGGCCCCGGATTGCTCCGTCCCCTCGCTCACCATCTTAGCAGCTCCCGGTCGGAAAAGGGAGCAAAGGATCTTGGGAAAGGAACTAGAAAGGTCGGTCTGGGAGAGCAAAGCGAGCGAGCGAGGCGGAATCGCGCTTCTGGTGGCGGCCCCTGGCGGCCTGGAGGACCGCTGCACAAGCACCGAGTCCAATGAGTTTTTTTTTTTAAATAATAGAATATGGAATAGAATAGAACAGAACAGAACAGAACAGAGCAGCGAGCCCCAAACTTGGCAAGTTTAAGACTTGTCTTAAAGTTGCCAAGTTTAGAGACCTCTGGAATAGAGAATAGAGAATAGAGTAGAGTAGAGTAGAGTAGAGTAGAGTAGAATAGAATAGAATAGAATAGAATAGAATAGAATAGAATAGAATTCTTTATTGGCCAAGTGTGGTTGGACACACAAGGAATTTGTCTTGGTGCAAATGATCTCAGTGTCCATAAAAGAAAAGATACATTTGTCAAGAGTCAAGAATCATCAGGTACAACACTGAATGATAGCCATAGGGTACAATAAGCAATCAAATCATACTAGGAAATGGTCAGTAAAAACTGTTAGGGTACAGCAACAAGGTTATGGTCATACAGTCATAAGTGGGAGGAGATGGGTGAAAGGAAGGATAGTAAAAGTAATAGATAAACTTTTCGCTGTTATTTTGATTTTTGGATAGAATGGCAGCACTGACGGGCTTCTGGAATTCAGGAAAGGGGCAGAGAATGCTTCCTGAAAGGAAAGACAGATAAAAGAATAAGTAAAATAAAAGGGTTATCTTACCTTATTGTTTTCCAAGGAATATCGCCAGTGTGGGCATAAAACCCAACCATGTTCATCCTGGTGTCCCTTGATGGAAGATTTCAGTGCAGAAACACAATATTTTATGAGCTCAGGATAAGGAATGTAGCAACATTCTCCTTTTTCGGAGGGGTGAAAGTGGAGGAATAATGAGGCTGTGCAATGCTTTTTCTACAGTTTAACACGGGAGTTGATGGGCTACATAATACTACAAAATTCATCATTAAAAATGAATTAATATTAACAGCCTTACTAAACAATCTACTGATAAGCTTCAAATAAGTCAAGTACTAAGTGGCATGTCAAATTTCCAGCGCCATCCCAGAAATGCATAGGATCTGGAAAGAAATTTGTGGAGAAACTATACAAAAACATTTAGCAAATCATCAATTATATATATGTCAGAATCTTCTTTCATCTGTATGTAAGATATATTTTCATGGTGAAGAAGTTTTAGACAAGAAAAACTTAACACGATTATTGGTAGTAAAAATAGAATATCCAAGTGCGACAACAGTCCAGAAATACGACTGTGTTGGGTTACTAAAGAAAATGTATCCTGCTTTTTTAAAATTATGTCTGGTTCAGTTCTTCAACTCATTTTTTAAAAAATATTTTCCCCTCAATATTGGAGTTCCTTCCCCAAATAATTTATAATGTGTTTTCTCTGTGACAGCCTTTTCTTTAATGGAAGAACGATACAGATAGGAGAGATTTAAATCTATAAAAATATTTCTTCTACATTTTTTCCCATTGAGCTCAGGAAAGAAAATGAATTATTGTGATTTTAAAGGTTTTTACTTGTTTTATATCAACTGTTTTATTTATTGTTGTGCACCATCCAGAGTCCCCGTTGAGGGGGAGATGGGCCACTATATAAATTTGAATAATAAATAAATTTGCAGGAAGAAAATGAGACTTTAATATTATGTGAAATCTATGAAGAGCTCATTTGTTTTAAACTGACATTTCTGCAAAGCTGTGAAAGTTATGCAGTTATGGAAGTCTTGAAATGAACAGGATTTCCCACAGCCAAGAAGTGACAATGCAACTCGTGTTCAGACTGAAAAAAAACACAATTACAGCCAATTGCATTAGCCTTGCCTGTGTGTCAACACAATAAACGCTGCCCTGCTCTCGACATTTGATCTTAACCAAAGGCTGAGCGAATGTATCGATCGAACTGCATCAAGAGGACAGCAATTTGGTCTGAGAAAAAGATATATACCGATGCCACAGAAATAAAAGATATTCCCCTGGGGGTGCTTTCAAACTATTATCGCAAGTGAAGTCTAAACACCCAGATCATTTTTATGCACAGGCTATAGGCTGTTCTGTTTAGCTATGAAGCCAAATTGTATTTAATTCACCCCAAAATCAAAGATACCTTAAAATATATATACAAACAGTTCATTTACTGACCAGTTACAACAGCCCTGAAAAATGTGACTTGATAGTTTTTCGGTTATGACCTTTCCAACATCCCCATGGTCCACTTAACAACCTGGGTTACTGATTAATTAACTACAGTGATTCACTTAAGAAAAGTCATACAGCCAAGAAGAGTCATACAATGGGGCAAAATTCACTTAACGAATGTCAACAAGATATTTTAGGCTCAACTGTGGTCTTAGGCCAAGGGCTATATGTAATTAGTAAACACAAGGGCTTTCCTAACACCCTGGTCCAGAGCCAGGTTTTCACAGCTCTCTTGAGAAAACGTCCTGAACTGGATCAGGGAAAGTCTCAAAGAAAATAACCCTTCTGGGAAAATCCCTGGATCCTTGGAATATGGTTTAGGCCGGGGGTCTCCAACCTTGGCAATTTGTGGACTTCAACTCCCAGAATTCCACAGCCAGCAAAGCAAAGCTGGCTGAGGAATTCTGGGAGTTGAAGTCCACAAGTCGCCAAGGTTGGAGACCCCCGATTTGGGCACTCATAACCTCCATACTATTTCCATTGGAATTATCTCTAGGTTCCTTATCGTGGGATTCTGGTGTTAGGTGATTTCATCCATGACTTACCTGTTCTTCTGATGGAAATATAGCGATACCTCTTCAAAAATAGATAATTGCATTTTTTTTAAAAAGCTGCCATTTGAGTTTGCATGGCCTTCTGAGAAAGGTTTAGGCGTACTAACGAGGACCCTTTTTTTGCCACCAGATGATTTGGTTTTATTAAACAAATTTATTTGGCTGCCCAACTCACACAGTGACTTTTCCTGACAGAACAATCAGTGGAATAACTTGTCTCCACAAGTTGTGGATGTTCCAACACTAAGTTGTGGATGTTCCAACATTTGTCTGGAATGGTATAGGGTTTGCTGCCTAAGCAGGTTGGACTAGAAGATCTCCAAGGGTTCCTTCCAACTTCTATTCTCTTGTTCTATTCTATTCCTTTTCAAACCATGTTGAAAAAAAAATCTGAAAAACAGACATCTGCCTTAATACAGCTAGTCAACTTCCAACCATGTGTTTAATGACCAGTTACAACAACACAGAAAAAGTTACTTACAACCAGTCTTTGCACTTACAATTCCTAGTCGTGTCAAGATTTGGGTGCTTGGCAACTGACATTTAAGACAATTGCAGAGCCCTGGAGTCACGTGATTGCAATTTGCAAACTTCCCCATTGGTTTGACAAAAGCATTCAGGGGAAGCCGGATTTGCTTAATGACGTGATTTGCTTACCAATCAGGGCAAAAGGGGTCGTAAAATGGGACGAGCTTCACTTAAATCGCCTTGCTTAGAAATGGGAATTCTAATTGTGGCTAAACAGACAGGACAAAGATAGTAAGAGAAGCCAAGAGGGTTGGATGTGGAAATTAATTTATGTTTCATATTTCTTAACCTAATTCTGCTTCGAGAACTGTTATTGCAATTTGATTTTCACCACGAGCAAAAGTATACAAGGTTCCTCTGCAGATGTTTGAGTGGAGCGTGCCAGCCACTCACCTCTTCAGGTAACTCCATTCCAGTCCGAGATATCCGCATTCCGCTGTGGGCAAACTCAGCTGCCTGCTTGTAAAGTTCTTTCCTTTTTAGCTCTAAATTTATCTCCCCCAAAGGCCCACCTGGTTCCTTTCACCACTGCCATCTGCTTTTAAAAGAAACGATCCCACAGAAAACAGGACCCATTCCCAATTGTGTCCGAAGAGGAAAAAGTAATTGGATGATACAACTGGTGTGTGTATGCATTTTGACTTGTGTGTTTTGTTTGTACCAGCAAGGCAAGGGTGACAGTAAACTCCCTATATTTTATGGTATTTCAACAAACCAAGTTTGGAAACTTTGGCAGACCTGTGCCTTTAGCAATCCGGCGTTTCTTTCCCTCTCTATACTGTCTATACAGCTGGTTATTTGCTGGTAATCCTGAGAACACAGATAAATCTCCAAGTAGCCTCCACAACCCTCTAAAAGGATGCAAATGACCAGCTGTCTGCCAGGAACATAAATCCTTTCATTCCCCACCATCCAGTTGGAGCTGAAGAAGTTTCTTGGATGAGAAGTGAAATGTCTTCAAAAGAAAAAGAAAAAAACGAGAAAATCCAGTTGCTTCCTGAAAAGGCACCTTTTGTGTCTCAGCAACAGAGATTTTGGGTTCGATTACAGTCGTCAATTGAGGATAATCTGTACACAAGACGGCAACCTTCAGATTCCCCTGTTTTTCAGCCCCCAACTCTGGAAAAAAAACACACACCACAAGCCCGAGGTTCTGCTGCAACGTGTTTTTATTATGTGCCAAGAACTACATCACAGCTTACTCCACACAATTGTAGGAGAATGCAGTCTCGCCCGCATATGCTACAATGAGGTAGACTTCACATACTGCTTCACAACAACCCCACAAAGAGCAGCTGGAATATGCAACATGAGCTCAGCAGGAAAAAGGGAGAACTTAGAACATTCGTTCTTTGGCACACAGCTTTCCAAGAGACGGGGGGAAAAAGACCCAAAATGAAACAAAATCTAAACTTCAATTCCCAGCGCAATCAGTGGGGCTGCTCCCACTGCTCCGGAGGGGGCCTCCCGTCCCTCTAAAACAGAAAAGGGGTCCTTGTAAAACCTTTGCTGGCCCGACCCAGCGCAGCCCTTACCTCTGCTCAGATATTAAAAAGGAAAGAAAATTGAAGCCTTTGTGACTTTTGTGATTAAAAACCTTTTGTCAAGCCCCCTTTTAGAAGTGCAACTTAAAAGTGCAACGAACTATATACAGCAGATCAAAGATCCATTTATCCGGTCCGGTTTCAAAATCCAAATTATCCTGTCCTCCTTTCTTGGGTTGC